TTACAATTTTTTTTCTATCGAGAAAATTACGTGTTATTGTGTTTTCCTTATATGGAATCCAAGGTCATATAGTCAAAAATCATATACAGAAAATTTGGTTCGTAATCTTTAAAAGTTAAAGAAATATGTGGAATAGAAAACCACCAAATTTTCGAGATATGCCTACTCTTAATGTGGCCAACCTTTTTGGTCGATAAAATTCCGTCTGAGACGTCCCTTGCCGACTCTGTCATACACTTCTGCCATACAATTCTTTCTACGTGACCAAAACACCAAAACACTTCGAAACCACACTTCCCTCTTATCATATTTCCCACCCTGTCATTCAGAGTCACCCCTAACATTAAAACGTTGTGGAAAATAATTGTTTGCTGTATCATTACCGTTATAGCCTGTTAAAGTCCACTGCTGAACATAGGCCTTCCCCATATATTGTCTCATAAGGGGGATATTTGCCATAGTTGTAATGTTACTGTTGATTTAAAAAATTTCACCTCTCAGTGGGTCATGTGCTCCTGGTAGATTATCTTCTATACATACATCCATTACAGCCTATAAAAGTCCACTGCTGAACATAGGCTTTCCCCATAGATTTTCTCATAAGGGGGATATTTGCCATAGTTGTAATGTTACTGTTGATTAAAAAAAATTTCACTTCTTAGTGGGTCATGTGCTCCTGGTAGATTATCTTCTGTACATCCATCCATTACAGCCTATAAAAGTCCACTGCTGAACATAGGCTTTCCCCATAGATTTTCTCATAAGGGGGATATTTGCCATAGTTGTAATGTTACTGTTGATTAAAAAAAAATTCACTTCTTAGTGGGTCATGTGCTCCTGGTAGATTATCTTCTGTACATCCATCCATTACAGCCTATAAAAGTCCACTGCTGAACATAGGCCTCCCCCATAGATAGTGGGGATATTTGCCATAGTTGCCACGCTTGGCAAGCGGGTTGACAACAGCCGCTTTTTTTAATTTTTAGTCGTTATTAGGAAGACGCTGCTGTCCATCTCCTTATTTCTTGACCTCTGTCGCCTCTTACGACACCCACAAGATGATATGGGTTAGTGGATATTCTTACACCGCCACTACAAATCAAAACAAATTTGTAATCATAGATCAATCAATAAGTAATACTAACAAATAATATTAGATATATTTTGTAAAGCCAGGGTGAAAGTGATTGAATTTTTGTTATCCTACAGTCTGAAACTGACACTGGCAGTTTCTCTAAAGCACTTTACCTATGGAGTGTAGAGTAGAAGGAGGACCATCTCTGTATATGAAAAGTGTCCCTAAAAACGTGTCCAATAAGGGTGGCGCTGCAGTAGCATAGGATAAATTAAAAAAGAAGCGCCAAAAGTATTTAAGATGGAGAAATAAACAAGGACCGATCAATCCGCTTGGTTTTGTACTACGTAAATAGTTGAGATTTTGTATATTGGCGTTTTACTAACTACTCTAGTCATGAAATATTTGAATTCAGCTGACTTCACTCCGATCATAACAGCTATCTTCATATCGTAGTTTTTCAGACGCCAGCGCTATTGTGGTAGGTTTTGGAACCTCTATTTACAGTAAATAGTAGGACACTTTTTCAACCTTCGCTCCTTATAAGATGGTTCTCCTTCTACTCTACACTCCATAACTTTACCCCACCGCTTTCACGAATGCCACATTTACAACATTCAGTCAACTTTTTTTTATAGGAGAGATGGGAACAGTATCATAATAGAGTTCGAATCCACTATTCAACCACCGTCTTTTTTTTCTTTTAAAAATATTTTTTACAAGACAAAATAAAATAACAAATTCATTTAAAAAATGCGTGAGTGTCACGGAACACTCGGTTGGAACGAAGTTCCTTTCGTAGTATAGGTACTTTTATTATTGATAATCTTATTATATTATTGATTAACAAATACAAATACTTAAAGGAATTACTAGTGTCTATTAAAATGAAGCTTCATTTAAAATAAAATAGTATTTCTTTCATGGCAATATAAGAAAAAGTGCGAGGTAGATTCCATCTCGCTTCTTTAGAACTGCCAAGGCCGTCTACAGTACACTACGTCAGAAGGGGTCGTAACGGAAAAACATTTTCTCGCCTAGCCCCCATCCGCCAAATTCGTACCGTCCGTGGAACTTCGTTCCAACTGGTTCCAACAAATAAAATTAACCATATTAAATAAAATTGTCTTAATATACCTATCCATTTATCCATTTATCGTAGGATTTATCTGAGGAAGCTCAAGGTCGCTCAGCGAGCTATGGAGAGGGCTATGCTCGGGGTTTCTCTGCGTGATAAACTTAGAAATGAAGATATCCGCATTAGAACCAGAGTGAACTTACAGTGGTAGAGCCACGCGGCAGCTTTTGCTGTCGCACGGATGGGCCGGCTCGAACCGAGGTAGTACCACGACCTCACAGAAAACCAGCGTGAAGTAGAGGTTTACCTCTGCGTTTCGCTTGGTGAGTGCAGGTGGCCGGAGGCCCTTTTTACTGGAAATGAGGCATTCCATCTTAGTCCTCACGGGTGACAACGCATCTACATTTTGATTTGTAACAGAGGATAGATGTAGATGTCTATGGGCCGCAGCAACCACTTACCATCAGGTGGACTGTGTGCTCGTTTGTCACCATTATTCTATAAAAAAAAAAAGTGACCGACATAGCCCAACGGATTAGTAAGCTGAAGTGGCAATGGGCCGGCCATATAGCTCAAAAATCGACAACCGATGGGGGACGGACGAAGTGTAGGGCGTCCCCCCACTAAATGAAGTGACGACCTGGTAAAGGTCGATGGATGCAGGTGGCTCAGGACCGTATTTTGTGGCATTCCTTGGGGGATGCCTATGTTCAGGAGTAGACTTGTGAAGGGCTGTAATGATGATGGTGATGATGATGATATATCGTAGCGCCTATTTTACATACCATATTGAGAGTCAATTAATTTTTGTTCGATAAAATGATTTTACCTACAGAATGTACCTATTAGATGGCGCTGGCGGCGATTAAAAAGCAATTTTACTCGAAAGAAAATATTCTTTTGAATTATTACACTAATATTTATATTTGCTATAAAATTAAACTTTTATCTTATATTTTATGCCGCACTTATAGTTGTAAATGATCATTAAAATAAATAATTTGCCGTAAAATGTATTTATTTTATATTTCAATTCATTTGAAGTTTTCACTTTTACCGCGTGTGAACTGCGCACTTTTTTTTTAAAAATCTTTCGGTTAATTTGCATGTTTACCGCAATATTTACCTTTATATTTCATTGCAGGCAATTGTAATTGCAGCAAATATATTACCAGGCGCTAATATTAAAGGAGCCGAAAAACAACTTTAACTTGAAAGGAGGTATTAATAAGTTGCTCTATGTCTAGGATATTAAGGAATATCCGAGACCTTTCGAAAGGATAGCCACTTAGTTGTGGGTGGTAGTTTAGTAACCGTGGTTTGTTCATCAATGGTGAATAAAAAAGAAATTGGCTGGCCCGGGGTGAAAGGCCGGCCCAAGGTAGCCCCTCTGAGTGGAATTTCCGTGTTCACTCCGGATTCGTGTTGGTAGACTGTGGTGATAAGTACTAAGATGGAATGCCTTATTACCAGTAAAAAGGGTCTAAGGTTCTCTACACTCATCATACGAAATATAGCAGCATTAAGTTGTTATTTCACGCTTGTATTCTGTGAGAGCTTGTTCATTCTCCGGTCGAACAGACCCATTCATGCTACAACCTTAAATATAGCTGCAGTATGTTTACTTCCTATTTCTTTTTATTCTTTTATTCCTTCCGCTCACGACATTATTTTAGGAGTATGATGTCTATGAACTGTTTTAGTTTTCGTTTCCATGCAACCAAAGGTTAAATAAGTTAACTAGTAACTTAGCATGTAGCAATTTTATGCGAACGTAACGTTGAACGTTATATTCATGGTTTGTTGCCAGATTTAATATAAATCCTTATTTTTACGTTAATTTTATGATCATAAATCACGGTTATCAAAAAGCAAGACAATTTAGGGGGAAAAATAAGGAATTTTTTAATGATCTATTTTCAAGACACAATAAAAAAAACATGCGCGAGTGTCGTGGAACGCTCGGTGGGAACGAAGTTCCTTTCGTAGTATTTTATTATTGATAAACGTATTATATTATTGATCAACAAATACAAATAGATGAATTATTAGCGTGTATTAAACAAAGCGCCATTTAAAATAAAATATTATTTCTTTATATAAGAGCAAGATAAGAAAAAATGCGAGAGAGATAGATATTATTCCATCTCGCTTCCCTAGAGCCACCAAGGCCGTCTACACTTTGTCAGAAGCGGTCGTGACGGAAAAATCTTACACTTTTTGTCGTCTAGCCCCATCCGTCAAATCCATACCGTCCGTTGTAGAACTTCGTTCCAATTATTTATTGCACTGCGGTTGTACCCCTTTTTTACAAACTTAGTTTTAAATGCATTGAATTTGGTTCAGTTTAAATAATAATATTTAAATTTACTACAACTACTTAATGACATTAAAACTTGTACAATAAGTTAATAGACAGTTTTTCTTTAAGCTCACGACTGGAAAAATTACAATTTTAAATATAGGTAATATGTCTATAAAAAATACTACCTATTTTATATATTTAGATTCTTATGAAAATAGGGGTGGAGGTTAGAGAGCAGCATTCTTAGCTCTAATGGCATTTTACGACACTGGACATCCAAACTCGAGTTTCAAAATTCATTTTAATCAAAAACAATTATTAAGAAATCGATTTATTGATACAATCAATATAACTAAACGTATTCTTGGTTATTTTTTTTTTAACAACTCACGGGCAAAGTTTAAAGTTAACGTGAAATCTAGCGTTTTTTGCATCGCATAATTCGCAGTTTGCACTGAATGAGGTTTTTGATCTGGCGCTGGCAGCACTAACTAATCGTACACTCATCACATTCACATCACTCCACACTTCAACTTCAGTTCAGTTCAGTTCGTTCAGTCGTTTCTGTTGGTGGGCTGTTTGTGTTCGTATTGTTTATATTATTATTTTGCGGTTTTTTGCAGATTGGCTTTTATTCCGTCGCGTAACTTATAAATTATAAATTACGGATGTGTTGTGTATATCTGTGATATTTTTGTAATAGAAAAATTCAGAATTGTCTCTCTAAAACTTTGAACGTACAGGTTGTTTTAGTGATTGTTTTCTTTTTGGTGAAATTAAATCAACGTTTTAATTAAATCTACACTTTACTGGCTGAAATCTATTGTTTTGGTAAGTCTAATAAACTTTAATTTACATTTTTAAATATTAACGCTGCAGTGTGCTGCAAGCTCGTTATGGGCGGACTTGTTGTTTTCGTTTTCGCCTTTTTTGACATCCATTGCAAAATTTTTTCGGACTCCGCTGTCGACCTCGATCTGATACAAGTAATTTAATGCCCACTGTGCAGTTTTTTTTCTTTTAAATGAAAAATTGATACGTTTTTGTAATTTGCTTTTAATTCACTTTAAGGTTTTGCTCCAAGTAAGTACAAGTTTATATAATTTTCTTACTATTTTATAGGTAACGGGCAGTAACATTTACTTTTAAACTTTTATATTTTATACACGGTGGAATTTTACAAAATAGGCGGTGAGACAGCTTTCTTTACATTATTGTTTTTAGGTCTTCAGTAGAGGATGCATTGCCGCAGTATGTTTTCAATACCGCAAATTAAAACATCCATTAATGGCGGTTTAACTAAAACAATAACATGAGTAAAAAAATCTTTAACGGGGGTTAAATTAAAGCACTAACATGAGATAACTACAATTAATCACACATACAACCCTAATCTAAATTTTTACCTTGGAAATGTTTATGTAAAAAGCAAAGCGTATCCACTGTCTCATCATTTAAAGAACTTCTAATTTTATTACATATGTATCCAGCAGCCGAAAATGCTCTCTCAGATTCTACGCTCGTTGGTGGAATGCTTAGCAGATAGTTATACACAGTCTCCAGATATTTACCCCTTGTTACTCTGGTTTCATACCAGGTTCGTTTTTAATACTGCCAGATTTGCACCTGTAATTTCACTTTTGCGGTACTGAAATACAGGGGTAAGAGAACCTACTACCCCACATCGTCCACTATCGTAAGTGATAATAGAGTGAAATGAAACAGCTGGGTATCATCTTCTGAATAACTTCCTAGCCAAGTGTGGCAACTATGGCAAATATCCCTTCTATAATTATAACAAAATAACTAAATTACTAATTCCATTAATGTAAATTCTGATTTTATTGTATAATATTTGTAAACATAAAGGGTTGAATGCAGAGAACATATTTAGTTGAAATAAAATACAATAATAATAATCAAATAAATAAAATTTGAATAAAATAGAGACTTACGATTTAGGACCTCCACAGAAAAGAGGCCTCCTTAATATAGAATAGAATAAAATAATTTTTATTCAATATAGATTACAATACATAATACTTGTTGAGTCATTTTTTACTTTTACCACTGATTTGCAAAAAAAACGTCTGTTCTGGGAAGAACCAGCAAGAAACCCAGTGGGACTTTTTTTTAAAAAAAAGCACAATTTACAATATAATATTTTATACAATTGTTATGTAAACATTTAGAAACAGTATGGTAGCGATCACCTCATTCCCGGGGGTTATTATCAGTAATGTACTCTTTATTAGTATAATAAACCTTACTAGACAATTTTTGCTTAATAAATAATTTAAACCTTTTGATATAAAAGGTCTGCATATTTTCTGGGACTTTGTTGTAAAAGCATAACATTGACCCATGAAGGAGTTACTGACTCTTTGGAGTCGAGTAACTGGTATAACTTCCTGTTCCTAGTATTTACTGTTATAACTTATAAAAAATAAATAAACGTCATATTGTCATATAACAGCAGCCTTTTCAGACTGTGTGCATTTGACACCTTTATTCTATAAACAATTAAATGGTTTCCACATTCTGTAACAAATTATACTAATATAAAAGTATGACTAAAAACATTAAAGAGAAAAATAAAATTAAAATATCTATATTACAAAACTGGCATTTACTTTTAGCAAGTTTCCAACTTAGTGTTGTGTAAATTTGAAAGCTTCCAAATAAGTGCCTTTGCATATCATAATCTTATATATGACCAGCTTTAGCTTGTCTGTATATCTATACATCTATACAAATAAATAAAATTCAAATGTCCATTTGTAATGTCAAAATAACAGCTTTTTACTAAATGCATATAAAAGTATAATATATGGTACTACAAAAACACAAATTTTAAAATTTTGCAGAAATCCATTATAATGGGGTTGTTATAAATTATTTTGCTTAATTCCGCGTAAAGAAAGAAAATGATGTGTCCTGCCCAGTTTTAACGGGACCTCCCACCCTCCCTCAATCGCACGCACTATACCCGTCGCCGTCAATCCAAGCACTACCATCCCCAGCATCACCACACTAGGCACGACACACCACTCGAAAATACGACACGTGCTTCGGCATTACACGCGCCATCCTTAGTACCCTTTGAGTACCGTACAGTACCCGTACTCAAAGGGTATTCCACGGGAAAAAAGATAAATGTCTATGCACTTGAATTATCATAAATAAAGTGGAAGATAATGCTGCAGAAAGACAAATATTTCTTCATTTTCTGGCAGTAGTTACTCCTTTTCTTCTTGTAGACAATCCCAGCTCTATAGATGCTCTGAAGAATAAACACAACTTCCTTCCTGGCCGAATACTTTTGCCCAATATTCGGCTATTCGGCCAGGAAGTCCGCAGGATGATCGGTATTCGGCGTTTGGCCAAATATACCAATCATTGCAATTGTAGTTATATGGATATTATAACATCTCAAAATAGTAAAAAAATGCAGTTGCCATCCTTACCTGTCAAGTGTGGCAACTGTGGCAAATATGCCCTTTATGAGGACTATGTTCAGCAGTGGAATTTAGATAGGCTGAATGAATTAATGTATGTGTGATGTGTAAAAAGTAAATACTTACTAGTAAAGTAAGTACTTTTACTTTTTTACTAACAAATGGAGAAAAAAGTTCATGGTTTAACTTCAATGAATAATAAGTATTGAAATTATATGTTTCTATATTATACTTTCGATTCATTTTTAACCGACGCCAAAAAAGTAGGAGCAGGTTCTCAATTTGCCGGAATATTTTTTTAATGTATTTTCACCGGTCAGGAAAACCTGAACCTACTTGGAAAATTATTTTTTTGTTTACTTCCTGTGGGAACATTATTTAAAATCGAAGAAATCGGTCGAAATGCTTAAAAAAGCAACAATAAATTATTTTATTTATATTGAAGTCTGTTGTACAAAATTTTTAATTTAAACATCTTGTGTATTTATTTGATTCATGAAGTTTCTTTGAAATTAGAGTTGATTTTTTTGATAGACATTTTTCACACTATGTCATCCTCTGGACTATTAAATTATGCGTGCGTCAAATAACCAAGCTTCCCACACTGCATAGCACTAAGCTGAGGCAATTGAAAATAACTAGGATGACCATGAATTATGAAATCGGAAAGTGAGAATGAAAATAATTAATCTTTGTTTTTTCAGAATATATTATTTACTAATTTATATTTCTTTTTGTATTATTCTAGTTTACTTGTAATTAAGTTATTTATATTAAACTAGCTTGGTTGGGTGGTTAGATAAAAAGCAGATTGCTGGGTATTCACAGAGATTGTCTCTGACATTTTTATACATGGTAGAGCCATGCTGCAGCTATATTAGTAGTATTGTTGTAGCACGAATGGGTCGGCTCGACCGGGGAGGAACCACGCTCTCGCAGAATACCAGCGTAAAAGAGCAGCTTAACACTGCTGTGTTTCGTATAGTGAGTGTAGGAACCGGAGACCCTTTTTACTGGAAAAGAGGCATCCCATCTCAGTCCTCACGGGTGACGACGCATCTGCATTTTGATTCTTTATTGAGGATAAATGTAGATGTCTATGCGTCACAGCAACCACTTACCATCAGGTGGGGGGCGCTCTACACTTTGCTTAACAGTACGATGTCGCCACTCGAGAAACCCCATCGGTTGTCGGTTTTTCAAGCTATATTATTACGCGGATCTAGGCTGATTAATTTTTAACATCTTTGAAACATCAGGCCACACTTCTTATCATACAGCGTGATCTATATATTAGATATCGTGAAAACAAAAACAGGATATAGACGTAATAATTAAAACGTTTGGTATTGCTACAACTGACTCGTATGGCCAGCAACTAGCAAACAACACGTGTGAAACTGGGACGTCAGCCGCAGGATGCGTCTGCCTCCAATTCGGTTAATTATAACGCGCTGACGAGGAGTCAAAGAGGAACGTACGAGAAGTGAGGGGTGGGGGGTTTCGATGTGTTTCTTGGAACTGTTGATTAACACGGGGACCGGTTCGGTTTGTAGTTCTTATTGTGAAACCCATATATTCCTACATCAATAACCGATTAAATATGAAGATGTCGGTTGCTGGCCGTATGAGGAAGCTCAAGGTCGCTCAGCGAGCTATGGAGAGAGCTATGCTCGTGGTTTCTCTGTGTATGAACTTAGAAATGGGGATATCCGCAGTAGAACCAGAGTGACCGATATAGCCCAACGGATTAGTTAGCTGACGTGACAATGGGCCGGCCATATAGCTCGAAAACCCGACAACGGATGGAGAAAAAAGGTTCTGGAGTGGCGGCCTCGTACCGGTAGGCGAAGTGTAGGGCGACCCCCCACTAGATGGAGTGACAACCTGGTAAGACATGCAGGAAGTCGATGGATGCAAGTGGCCCAGGACCGTGGTTTGGGGGAGGCCTATGTTCAGCAATAGACATATGAAGGGCAGTAATGATGATGATGTCGGTTGCATTCTTAGTACGATATCTGGCTATCACTGTACTAAGATACACATTGTACGTAATCGCTCGTGACTCCTCTCGTAGTTTGTATTAAATTTTATTATTTTTAAACGTGGTGGAGCCAAAATGGGCCGGCTCGATAAGGACCACGCTCTCACACAATACCAGCGTAATAGCATCTTAACGCATGGTGAGGTGGATACGAGGCATTCCATCTTAGCCCTCAAAGGTGTCATTTGATCGTGTAGAATGTAGATGTTTTAATGTCCATGGATAAATCTCAATTGTATTGTCATCGCAATGAATAAACGCTTTTTTTACTCGTTCTCGCCGGTGAAGGAAAACATCGTGTAGAAAAGAAAATGTTACTGGGAATAAAA